CACTGGGAGCCGGCTTTCAGGGCTGTGTTATTCAGCCTCTGCTGCCTCAGTTCCCAAATTTGTCAAGTGTGAATAATAGCATTTATCTCAGAGTTTCAACTGGATGTGATACAAATACATGTAATTTCCATGTTTCTCCTAAAATAAGACCTAACCGGGGGGGAGAAGAAATGCCAGCCCCGATCAGCCTCTCCTTGCCTTACCTGCCATTGCAGAGCGGCCACAGAAAGAGAATAGTGATATTTAACCTGCAGGACACTGGCCGTCACCTTGGTAATGAGCGGCTAGGGCTGGCTCCAGCTAGGTGGGTCTGTTAGGTCTGATTTGGGGAGTCACCGTTGCTTAGAACAGGGCTCAGCTCTCTATACACGTTCACTCACCACTCTTACTCAGGAGGGGACCTAAGGGCTGGGCCGTTTGGGAAAGGGAGCCGCCCTCCTGGGTTACTGAGGTCCCTTTCTGTTCCTCTCTGCCAGTTTTGCATCTTACAGGACTCTCCCTCCTTTCCTTTCGCATCTGTCCGCTTGCCTTTGTGGGGCAGCTGTGACTGAGGACCGCTGTGTGCCTGAGCTGAATTAACCTTGCCTGCTCTCCTCCTGCGCTGTCCCTCCCTAGGGCACCTTCGCCTCCCAGGTGACGCTGGAGGGGGCCAAGCTGAAAGTGGAGCGGGAGATTGACGGGGGCCTGGAGACCCTCCGCCTGAAGCTGCCGGCTGTGGTGACCACAGACCTGAGGCTCAATGAGCCCCGCTACGCCACGCTGCCCAACATCATGGTGAGCACACTGGGGCCGTGGGTGGGCAGGCACATTGCTGCCCGTGCCGTGCTGATGATCTGATGGCTGGGGGAGGGCCAAGGGACAGCTCACCTGGTCATTTTGGCCAACAGAGCGTGTATGGGTTGAGAGTTCGGGGTGGGGGAGCTGTCTTGGCAAATAGGGAGACTTGGCTGGTCATGCCAGCCAACAAAAGGCTTCCCTAGGCAGCAGAGGGGTTCTGCTTGCCATTCCGGCCCATGGGCAAGCTCACTGGGCAGTCTTGGCCCAAGAAAGAGGTGTGTTTAGTCGTCCTGGTTCCTTAGGGAAGGTACCCTTGATAGTTTCTGCCCTTGGAAGTGGGGATGAACAAGGAAGGGTTCATGGGGTCTCTTGGCCAACAGGAAGAGTTCCTTGGGTCATCCTGGAGGACACGGAGAGTGTGTAGGTCATTTCAGCCAAGAGAAAATGTCCAATGTAACATCTCAGCCAAAAGGGAGGGTTAAGTGGGTCATCCAGCCAATGAGGATCATTTCAGTGGGTGGATAACCAAAAGGAAATGTCCTGAGTCCATTGAGTCATTACTGCCTAGACGATGGGTCCCTCAGTCCCTGCTGGCCAACACGGGGCTCCCTGCAGGGGGCTTGCTAAAGAAGGGCTACTGGCATAGAAGAGCCTGTTGGACCATCCCAGCCAACGGGAATTGTCTGCACTGGGTGAGGCCCGGCCCTGTGAAAGGTTGCACATGTCCTGGTCATTCTGGAGGCTGGGGGAGGGTCCTGCACTGCGGTACCCTGGGAAGGAGGTTGGGGGGGAGGGGGCTGGGGGGGCTTCAACAGCCCTGTGGACCTGACTCCCCACATGCAGAAAGCCAAGAAGAAGAAGATCGAGGTGATCAAGGCCAGCGACCTGGGCGTGGACCTGAGCTCCAAGCTCACCGTGGTCAGCGTGGAGGACCCACCCCAGCGCACGGCTGGTGTCAAGGTGGAGACCACTGAAGACCTGGTGGCCAAGCTGAAGGAGGTTGGGCGGATCTGAGCCCCCTCCCTGACACTCAGCAATAAAGCTATGACTCTCGTAAAGTCTGTTTGCATTACCTCATTCCTTGGAGGTCCTGCCTTTGATTCATTCAACAAACATTTCCTTAAATCCCTTGTTCCTGGTCCTGTGCTGGGCGAGGCAGGGGAGCGAGGTGAGTCAGGTCCCTCTGACTACCGAGGGGACAGGGCGGCAGGGGCTGGGTGCAGAAGCACATGGGGACCTGGATGGGGCACCTGGCCAGGACAGTGGCATCAAGGAGGCTTCCCAGGGAGCAGAAGGCTGTGTGCTGGGGCCCTGCTGGGACCCGGAACACAGAAAGAACCAGGCCAGAGGAGCTGGTTCTGGCTGGGGAGACAGCCCATAGCAGACATTCAAAACCTCAGAGCCCAGGCCTGCAGTCGGGTTTGCTGATTGCAGATCTTCATGCTGACCTTTGCCAGTTATGAGGCCCGGGCTGAGCAGCATCCGTCTCTGACCTTCAGTTCCTCAGCTGCCAGTCCTACCATACCTACCCTGGGTTCTGGGTCCTGAGGCCCAGGGTTCAAATCCACTGACATGGACCAGTGCCTGACTATGAGAGGCTCCCAGGCAGCCTCAGTTCATCTTTTATCAGGAGGCTGAGGCAGGAGGACCACAAGTTCAAGCCCAGCCTGGGCAACTTAGTGATTCAGTGAGAACTTGTCTCAAAATAAAAAAATATAGAAAGGGCTGGAGATAAAGCTCAGTGCCAAGGTCCTGAGTTCAATCCCCAGTACTAAAAAAAAAAAAAGGATACCTGTGTGCTGGTTGTCTTTTTTGGGGGGTACCGGGGATCGAACTCGGATCCTTGCACTTGCACAGTTGAGACAGGGTCTTGTACTTCTGGCTGTCCTTGAACACACAGAAATCCTCCTGCCTCGGCCTCCTAAGTGCTGAGCTTACAGGCACGTACCACCATGCCCAGCCTGGTTGTCTTTTGCAGTGTAACAAACTACCCAAAAAATTGGTGATTAACTTTTTGCTCATAAATCTGAACAGGGGCAGACATCGGCTTGTGGCCACCACTCAGCATCAGCTGAGGTGACAAAAGGGGCCACAGGTCCAATCCTGAGCACCTCACTCTCAGGGCCAGAAAGCTGGCTGGGGCTCTTCACTCAAACTGCATTGCCCGGAGGACTCAGCCAGGGGCGTGATCAGGACCATGATCCTTCTGTGTGGGCTGCTTGAGTGGCCGCAGCATGGCAGCTGGGGTCCCAGAGGGAGGGCTCTATGATACAGGAAGTGGAGTAAGATGGTCTGGAAGCAGGAAGTGGCCCAGGGCCACCTCCACTGACCCTCTTGATCTAGCAGTCGCAGAGTCTACTGAGACCAAGAAGGAACGCAGACCCCACCCACTTCTTCATGAGCCGAAGCTCATGCCGAAGCTGCAGCCATCACTAGGCTGCAAGGCCCACCTGAGTGGGTTTTGAGAGGTGAATTTATGTAGCTCTTCAGAACCATACCTGATACACAGAAAAAGCTCAGCATATATGGGCGTGGTAAAAAAACTGAATGTTTAACAAAATTTATTACAGTAAAAGACACAGAGCCATGAATCCTCCTTCAGACACGGCCCGTAATTTCAAACAGGCATTGCATCGTCCTTGCCACTCTCTGAAGCAGCTCTGGAATTCTTTTTTAGTGAGTGTCATTTAGTTTTGCTTTTGCAGCTGCCTGGATGCCTTGAGTCTACACAAAATGGTTCCCTTTCATGATTATTTTGATTCTGGCAAAATAATTATTTTGACATCTGGCACCAGAAATCACCAGGTGCTGGATTGGGTGAATGGAGACATACCGTAACGCTTGTGTGAGCCTGCTCGTCCATTGGATGACCGCAGCAGCACTCACCATGTTTGTGACTACAGCTCATAAAGACACTCAGGAAAGAGGACTTCCAGCACTTCATCTGAAAGTGGCCAGAACAATGGGCTAAGTGTGTTTGAAGTGAGGCGGAGGATTTTGAGAGGGCCTAATGGCAATGCGACTTTACTATTAACATACTTATCATGACTTTCACTCACACTTCATATCATCAGCATGATTATCATCAGCATGATTATCATCAGCATGGTAAGGATGATGTTTGTCTCCGAGGACTGGGAGCTGAACGGAGGCCCTACTCCCAGAGTGGGAGGTAGGAAAGACTTTGGAAGCAGGGAGCATTTTGAGCAACTGGGGCCTAAATCCCGCTTCTCCATCTGGTTCTACAATGAACTGTGTGTCCCTTGGCTTCCCTGAGCCACAGTCGCTGGTCTGTAAGGCAGGGACAGACACCCAGCTCAGAGGGCATCAGAAAGGGCTCAGCCCGGTAAAGCAGGGGAGGAATCTAGCATGGTTCCTGGAAAAACATAAGCAGTAATTATTATTATTGTTCTTAATAAGGTGAGACCTGAAGGACAAGTTGTGGGAAGCGAAAGAACAGGTCAGTAGAGGAAACAGCATGAGGGCTGGGAGCTGAGGGGGCCTAGGAATCAGCACGTTGCGGGGGGCAGGGGTGCTGGAGCCAGGAGGCGTGGTGGGGTCACTGGAGAGGTGGGACACCCCCAGAGGGCACTGGAGAGGGGAGGGTCACCTCTGATGTAGAAAGACCCTCAGGTGGACTGCAGGGACTTTCGGGGCCTGGGTGGCGGAACAAGACAAAGTGAGGGCAGAGAGACTCAGCAGGCAGGAGGGAAGGGAGAAGGAGGGGTCCCCAGGACCTGCGGAGATGACTGAGCCACTGGAGACGGAAAAGCAGGAGGGCGGCTGGGCTGGAGGCAGCTGCTGAGTGCAGGGGGTGCAGAGCTCTGAGGCTCTGGGAGGCAGGAGAGATGGCTGTGTGGGAGTCAGTGACTTGAGCCTGCGTCGGGGACAATAGGGAGCCAGGGGAGGTTTGGGGGAGAGGAGGAGCCGGGCAGACAGACAGACAGACAGACAGACCAGGGCAACATCTGGGGAGCAGGAAGCCATCAGCAGGAGAGCTATCGTTTGTCTCATCCTCCTCGAGGAAGCCTTCCTGGCTCTGGTCCCAAGACTGGCCACCCCATACATAGCTGGGACTCCGTTCTCCCCGTCTTTCCATGGGGTGGAAGTGCAGATCTGGCGGGGCTTCCACAGACAGGGCCAGCAGGTGGAGACCAGAAGGGTGGGGTGGGCGGCTCAGCCGCCAGGTGGGGTTGGGGACCCCAGCACCACCCGCTGGATTTGGCTGCCTTCCCCGCCCAGGAAGCTAAGTTACCAGTCCTGTTGGACTCGTCCTACCCGGGAGGGACCAGTGCAGGTCCTGGCTCTCCCCAGTGTCCTCTCCTTGGCGCCAGCACCATGGACACCTTGCGGGCTCTGCCACTCTTCCTGCTCCTGGGTAAGTTCCCTTCACCCCCTCTCACCCGTGCCCTTCCCAGCAGCCTCTCCAATGCCTTGCCCTTCCCTCCCCTCCTGTCTTCTGAGTAGGGGTCTTTGCCACTCCTGGGCTTCAGCAAGCCAATTCCACCTCTGCCTCCTCCTCTTCCTCCTCGGGCTCCATCAGCTCCTCCTCCCACGGCCACACTTCAAAAGTGCCCCCCATCAACGGCCCCAGCCACCAGACTCCAGGGTCACCACCCTCTGCTGAAATTCCTGATTCCCAGCGGTTTCCCGAGACCCTGAATCCGAAGGATGTGCCTCAGTCCCTCTGGTCAAATGTTTCTGCTGACAGCCGGCAGTGGAGCTCAGAGCTCACCTTCTCTGAAATTCCTGGTTCTGAAGCATTTCCTGACACCTTGGATCCTCAACTTCCAGCCAAAGGCCCTGCTCCCTCCTCTGTTAAGACCCCAGCTTCAAACACTTCTGCTCAAGTCCCAGACACCAAAGTATCCACTGGGGGCCCGGGCTCAAAGCTCCCCACTAAAAACCTGGACCTTGAACTCTCTGGCCCGAACTCCGAATCCAAAGTTTCCTTGGTGACCCACCCAGCCGCAAGCTTCCCCCAGCAGGTCGGGGGCCCCCTGGCTGTGCTGGTGGGGACCACCATCCGGCTGCCCCTGGATCCAATGCCTTACCCCGGCCCCCCTGTCCCCCTGGTGGTCTGGCGCCGCGGCTCCAAGGTGCTGGCAGCTGGGGGCCTGGGGCCTGGGGCTCCCCTGATCAGCCTGGACCCTGCTCACCGAGCGCGCCTGCGATTCGACCAGGCCCGAGGGGGTCTGGAACTGGCCTCTGCCCAGCTGGCTGACGCGGGAGTCTACACGGTGGAGGTCATCCGGGGCGGGGTCTCTCGGCAAACCCGAGAGTTGCTGGTGGGCGTGTACGGTAAGTGGACCGCAGTGCAGGTTGCTTCAAGACCTTTGGGCCAGTCACTAGTGTCCCGTAGACGCTTCCTCCCTGCAGTTAGGGCCCCTGGATGGGAGTGAGGACTAGGAAGCTGGAGGTGGGCTGAACACTGGAAGAGGGGCCTGAACCCCTGGGCCCGAGGGAGAGGGCTGAGGCCTATTTGGACCCCCGGGTCTGAGGGAGGAGGCTGGGCCCGGACCCCAGGTCTGAGGGAGGAGGACTCTGAGGAAAGACTCAGGGGCAACCAGCCACGGGGCCCCGACCTCCGCGGTGAAGAGGAGCCGGCGGCTGGGGCCCAGAGTCCTTGGTATAGAGGAGCAGTGACCAAGGGCCCGGCTCCCGGACGGTTCCTGATCCCATTCTCCCCTCCAGAGCCCCTGCCCCAGCTCTCGGTGCAGCCCCAGGCCCCTGAGACAGAGGAGGGGGCGGCCGAGCTGCGGCTGCGCTGCGTGGGGTGGAGGCCTGGCTGCGGGGAGCTCACCTGGAGCCGGGACGGACGCGCCCTGGGGGCCGGGAACCCCGAGGGAGCAGAGCCGCCCCGGATCCGCGCCGAGGGCGACCAGCTGCGCCTGGCGCGCCCCGTGCGCAGCGACCACGCTCGGTACACGTGCCGCGTGCGCAGCCCCTTCGGCCAGGCGGAGGCCGCCGCGGATCTCCGCGTCTTCTGTGAGCGGGGAGAGGGCCTGGAGGCGGGGAAGGCGCTCGGGCCGCCGGGGAGACCCGGTGACCCGGCTCCCTGGCCCCGCAGACGGGCCCGACCCTCCGGTCATCACGGTCGCCTCGGATCGCGACGCCGACCCCGCGCACTTTGTCACAGCGGGCAGCAACGTGACCTTGCGCTGCAGCGCCGCCTCACGGCCGCCCGCCGACATCGCGTGGAGCCTGGCGGACCCCGCCGAGGCCGCAGTGCCCGCGGGCCCGCGCCTCCTGCTGCCCGCCGTGGGACCTGGCCACGCCGGCGCGTACGCCTGCCTGGCTGCGAACCCGCGCACCGGCCGCCGCCGCCGCTCGGTACTGGACCTCACCGTGGCGGGTGAGAGCTGCGGGGGGGGGGCGGGGCCTCCTGCGGGGAGGGGAGGGGCCGCCTGGGTGGGCGGGGCCGCCTGGCGGGGCTGGGGTCCCTGGGGCTGGGACAGAGGGGCGGGAAGAACAACGGTGGGCGGGGCCATCTGGGAGGAGGGGCCACCTGTGGGCAGGGCGGAGCCAGCGGGGGGTGCAGATAGTGTTTGTGGAAGGGTCGGGAATGCCTAGAAGTGGCGGAGCCGGCAGGAGCAGAAGCAGACGTGCCTGGGCAAGTGGCATTCTCAACAAGGCAAGCAGCGCAGTTAAGTGGCAGGGTGGGATTAGCGAGGGGACTAGGTTGCCTGGGCCGGTAAGTGGGATGGCAAAGAGAGTAGTTGCTTGGCCACCGGGTAGAGTCACAAGCCCAAGGGGTGGAGTCCACGCAAAGGGGTGGAGCCACCAGTCAAATGGGCGTGATCCGAGTGGGCGGAGCTACCTGGACAAGGGGTGGCTCCACGTGGAGTAATCAAGGAGGGGCGGGGAAATCTGCCAGAGGGGTGGAGCCGGAAAGGAAAGGGCGGGATTACGTTTAGAAGAAACTGTGAAGATGCAGTTTTCTTAGGAAGGGTGAAGGTCAGAGGGGCTGCAGACTGCCCTCTTAGCTGGGCAGTCACTGGGAACAAGGAGCGGGGTCTGCCAGATAAGAGGGGGAATTAGCGCCTTGGGGGCGGGACCAAGTGGCGAGGGGCGGGGCCCACGCGCAGAGGCGGGGCTAGACCAGTAAGAAGAGACCGCTGGATCCCGGATGTTCTCCCCCTCTGCAGATCTGCCCCCCGGGTCCCCACAGTGCTCGGTGGAAGGGAGTCCCGGGGACCGCAGCCTCCGCTTCCGCTGCTCTTGGCCCGGCGGGGTTCCCGCCGCCTCCTTGCAGTTCCAGGGTCTCCCCCAAGGCGTCCGCGCGGGCCCTGCGCGCTCAGTGCTCCAGGCCACCGTCCCCGCCCACCCTCGGCTCGGCGGCGTTCCCGTCACCTGCCTCGCTCGCCACCTGGCTGCCACGCGCACCTGCACTGTCACCCCGGGTGAGGGGCCGCGTTTCTCCGCGGTGCCAGAGAAGGAGGGCGATTGTTTCTTTGGTGCTCTGGCACTTGCGGGCCTGGGATTGGGGTGGGCGCTTCCTTACTCTGGGAAAAGGGCGGAGCCTAGAGAAAGATCAAGGTTTTTCCTATACCTGAGGGTCGGGAGGGGGAAGAGGCAGGTTTTATTCCATGAGGACTGTCACTTTCCCATGTATTCAGAGAAAGAAATCAGTGGGTTTTAAAATTTTTAATTTTTGAAAGTAATTCATTTTTAAAGTAATTAAGGATAATGAGTTTGACAGTCCAGGGCCTGGCCTATGGTATGTGTTCAGTGTATGCGTGCTGAGGATTGATGCATAGATGGATGGATGGGTGAACGAACGGCAAGTTCCCACCTCAGGGCGTCACCCTATTTGATTTAAGGAGAGGCACTGACTTGTTCTCTCCCCTACAGAGGCCCCCCGGGAGGTGCTGCTGCATCTGCTGGTGGAAGAGACGCGCTCAGGAGAGGCAGAGGTGGTCCTGCAGGCCTCTGGCTGTCACCAACCCTCCCGAGCTTTCTGGGCCCGGGAAGGCAGGCCCCTGGCTCCGGGAGGCGGGGGACGCCTGCGGCTCAGCGGGGATGGGTGCAGACTCCTCATTGGCAACTTCAGCCTGGACTGGGACCTGGGAAATTACTCCGTGCTGTGCAGCGGGGTGCTGGGTGCGGGGGGCGACCAGATCACCCTCATTGGTGAGCCTCAACCTTTCCAAAGCCCCTGGCTTTCAGTCCCGAGGGCCCGCCCTAAAACCCGGGCCAGCAGCCGCCAGCCCCTCCTTCTCAGACCCAGGGGCCCAGACCCCCAGGCCCCACCCCACTCCCCTGTGCACCCCAACATCCACCCCTTCTTCCCCCAGGCCCTTCCATTTCCTCCTGGAGGCTGCAGAGAGCCCGAGGCGCAGCAGTGCTGACTTGGGATGTGGAGCGCGGGGCCCTGATCAGTGGCTTTGAGATCCAGGCGCGCACAGAGGGGGCCGACCTCAGCAGGGCAACCGCTTACAGGAACTGGGTCTCCCTGCTAGTCCTGGGGCCGCAGGAGCGGTCAGCCGTGCTGTCTCTCCCTCCTGGGAGCCCCAGGACCTGGGCTTTGCGCATCCTGCCCCTGCTGGGGACTCATCCAGGGACTCCATCACAAATCCGACTCTACCAGGCAGGTGAGCGGGGCTGTGGGCACCTTGCCTGGGCGTCTTAGTGATCTGAGTGTCACTGCAGGCTGGCACGTTGGGTCTCCCATCTCCCTCTCTTGTAGTGGCCCCCCTTCTAGTGCTAGAACAATGTACCTGACTGGGTGAGCAGAAACATACTGTGTCACAGCTCTGGAGGACAAAAGTCTGATATCCAGGCATCATCAGGCCTGGGCTCTTCTGCGATTCTGAATGGAAGCCTCCCTTGCCTCTTTCCGGCTTCTAGTGGTGGCTGTCCATTCTTGGTGTCCCTCAGCTGCATGTGGGTCACTCCGACCTCTGCCTGCAGCTTTCCTATGGCCTTCTCCTCCTGCTGTGTGTCTCTGTCCTGTCTGTGTGTCTGTGGGACAGGGACCACGCTAATGACCTCAAGTCCACTTGGTTACATTTCAAAGTAAGGCCACATTCACAGGTACCAGGGATCAGTACCTCAATACACAATGTAGCTTCTACATGGCGGAGTATCCCGGGTCTTAGCCGTTGAACAGGAATTGTCCCCAGCAGGATCTGGCGCAGACTGATGGCCTTCAATATCAGTAATGCTCACATGACTCCCAAGTGACTTCTACCCAGCCCGGTCCTCTCTCTGGGACTCCAGGCCTCGGCCAAGCTGCCCACTACCTCATGTCCTACTCTGGGGCTCCCATTGGCGTCTTAATGTCACTTGTCCAAAATAGACCCCTTGATGTTTCCGTGGCTAAGCTGGATCCCCCTGCCCCGCCCCAGTCTTACCCATCTTACTGATGGTGCCAGTCACGTTCCCAAACCACCCCTTGCCAGTTACCAGCAGGTCTGGTCAATCTGCTTTCCAAAAGGCTTTTTCTAATCCGTTGTCTTCTTTTCACTTTTCCTCTAATGCCCTGTCAAGCACAGTCCTCTCACCTAGACTGCCGCAGCCGTTTACCTGGTCTCTCTGTCCTCCCCTTGCTCTCCTATAATCCACTCCAGGTAGATGCCAAAGTCAGGAAGTGAGATCGTGATGCCACCCCTCAGAAACCCATGCCCCCCATGAATTCCTACAGGCCCCTCCAGGACCTGGCCCCTGGTAACCCCCTAATGTCACCTCTACCTTTTTCACCTCGTTCCCTGCCCTCCACCCACACTGGTCCCCATCAGACTCGGGAAGCTCCTTCCTGCCTCCGAGTCTGCATTTCCTGTTTCCTCTTCCTGCAGGACCATCCCCCGGGTTCGGCATGATGGCTTCTTCCTCGGATCCCTACTCACCACCTTTCTAATCACCTTCCCTCCTGTTACTTCTATCACAGCGCATTTTTTCCTTCTTAGTACACGCTGCAATTATGTTACTGTTGCTCATTTATTTCTCCCTCCTGGCTTGGGGCTAATGCCCACCAGTGGAGTCTCCCCCCACCCACTCCAGCCTAGTGCCAGGCACATGATGTCACTCAGTAAATGCTGAATGAACTGAGGGTGCTGGGGTTGGAGATTCCTAGGTCCCGAGAAGAATGAGCAAGGGGCTGGACTCCTGGGATGAGTTAGGAGCTTAGGAAATGAGTCCAGCCTCTGCCCTGCTCCCTTGTGTCCCTTCGGTCTCTTCCAGGTCCCATCCTGGGCCCTGGGGCCATCATTGGCATTGTCCTGGGCTCTCTCCTGGGCATGGCCCTGCTGGTCACACTCATTCTCCTGTGTGTCTGCTGCCTGCTGCACTGTAGAGGTGAGTGAGGGTTCTGGGGGAAGAGGTGCCAACTGGGAGGGTCCCTAGAAAAGGCCCACTCAGACCTAGCTGAACCAGTCAGCACAGTTACAGTTCGCCCACCCTGCCTTCCTGCCTGTGTCTCAGCCAATCCCAGTTCCCCAGCTCTCAGACTAGCTTTCCTTACTATTGGCTGAATTGGCATGCTGGAGCAGCCAGTCACTGTTTCTCTTTCTCTCTTCCTCTCCTTCCCAGGAAAGTCTCCTAATTTGGAAAAGAAATATCCCCCGACCTCGGCGCCTGTGGTCTTCACCCCAGAAAAGGAGACGTGTGGTGTGACCCCAGTGCAGACCCCACAACTGCCGCCCTTCACATTTCTGCAGGAAGACCCCAGCCCAGCCAGGGCCCATCCAGTGAGTACAGTGCTCCATTTCCTCCCGGAACAGGGCGGAATTTATTACAGTCGGGGAGATGAGGTGTAAAGGTGGTAAAACCTTGTCCCTTTATTTAAAAATACATAGTGGACAGAGGCCGGTAGCCCCAGCACTCCAGGAGGCTGAAGTGGGAGGGTCACAAGTTCGAGCCCAGCCTGGGCATCTCAGTGACTTAGTGAGACCTGCGTCAAAGTGAAACGTAAAAGGGGCTGGGGACGTGGTTCGTAAAGAATTGGGTAAGGGTTCCACTTTTCTCTCTGAGGCGGGACGGAATTTCCTCCCCACCCCCTGCAAGTCGGGCTGCTTTCTGCCTTAGTCTCCCAGGGACAGCTCCATATTTTTCTTCTCCTGGCAAACCAGGAGGCTCAGCGAGCATCTGAAAGATCGGAGTTACAGCTGGAGAAGGTGGGAGGGAGAGCCAGCTCATGCCCGGATTGCCGCCTGAGGTCCCCCGCCCTGCCTCTCTTCCAGGCCGCCGGCCCCAAGACCCCCAAGACTGTCATCACTCCAGCTGGGGGCCCCAAAACTGTCCGAGCAGCCACGCAGGTGTGATCCGCACCAGGAGCCCCCTCTGCGCTAGGAATTTGGGGCCAAGACTTCCTGTTTTGCTCCGTATCCAGTAGGGCCTGCTGTGCCTGGGAGTTGGACCCCAAAAGTGAGACTCCTATCTTCCCCTCTTGTTGGAGAAGACTCAGCCTGTGTCTGTGCAACTACGCAGTGTGGTCTGCACAACCGAGGCCCCACAGCAGCCAGGCCGGCCTGCTGCGCTGCTCCCGACTGGTAGAGGAACCTGGCTGGGTCTCTGGCTGCACTTCCTCCTCCACTTCTGGCACAGCTCCCAGAGACTTCATCCTAAGGCAGATCAGATCACCTCCCTGTCCTTTTCAAGGCTTCCAGGGCTGTAAGCTGCCCTTCAGGCGTTATCCACACCCTCCTCCTGACCTGCAAGGTCTCCTGGTTTGGCCTGGCCTGTGTCGCCGCCCGTGACCTCCCTTCCTGAGACTGACACCTCCTCGGGGACACAGGCTTTCTCCCAGCCTTGCTTCTGCTCCCACCAGCACTTTGCCAGGGCACTTCTCCTCCTGCGGCTCACTCGGCGAGGTCAAGGCCACCATGCCTATCTCAGGAGACCTTTTCCTTTACCTTGGTCATAGGTTCAGTCCCAGCATCCCTGAACTTCCCCTGCTCATGTGCAGGGATATAATTCCTCCAGTAGCTCAGATCCCCTCAACAAAAGTTCACGAAGACGAAAACCACACCATTATCTGAGCACTTAACGCAGGGCCTGGCACACACCAGACAATCCATACACATTTGCTGATTGATCAAGCGCTTTGGTGCCAGTCAAGAGAGCTGCCTGTGTCCTCCCCAGCACGATGCCTCATCCTGGCTCAGCACCTCAATGGCCCCATCCAGGACCTGGACCCTTTGAATCTTTCAGCTCTGCCACTATTTGTTGAGGGGTACCGGGGATCGAACTCAGGTCCTTGCACTTGTGAGGCAGGCAGTGGAGCCACTGAGCTAAATCCCCGGCCCAGCTCTGCCACTTTTTAATGGGTTGGTGTAGTTTATCCACATGTTGCCTCCTGTAGTAAAATGGCTCCTGCCGTTCCGTTTGTCACATCTTCACATACCAGCATCCAAAGACAAAAGGAAGAGGACAGGGCTCCCTTCCTGTAAAATGAGATTTCTCCCCTCTCTCTCCCGTGTGTGTGTGTGTGTGTGTGTGTGTGTGAGCAAAGAAAAAACGAAAGTGTAGGCGACCAGCACATGTCTCAGGGCAGGGAGCTTCTGGAGTCTTGGGTGCCTGAGCCCTCTTCCCTCTCTCCCATATCAGGCAGATTTTCATTTCCTTTGGATCACCAGAGACAGAAAGCCCACCACACAAGGGGTACACACACGAGACTTTATTGCTTGTGTAAGTGAAGGACAGCATCAGGTACACTTCGATCCAGCTGCTCAAATCAGGTCCCCAGAGACTCAGTCTCAGCCCTTCCACTCTGCGTTCTGCGGTGCAGCTCAGTCTCAGCCGCCACACGCGTCTTCCCGGCCGCTGCTGGCCCCACGGACTCGTCTCTCCACCCGGCAGACAGCAGCTGCTGTCTCGGAGCCGGCCACCCGCAGAAGGGCGCCCTCTCATTGGCCCGGTCAAGTATATCTGAACCAATCACGGTGGGAAGAAGCACTGCTGAGTGGCTTAAGCCACTGAGGGACCAGCTCTCTAAGGGGCCAATTCCAAATCTACCAGAGAGAAACGGGGGCAGGCCCGCTTGGGACTCCACTTACCCGACTCCTCAACCACACGGACATCTGTAAGCAGAGACTTTGGAAAAAGGCGTTTATTGGTGTGGTGGTCTCAACACTCCCCATGAATTGGAACACACGGCCCCCAGGGCCCCCCGCCCCCCTCCCTGCGCCCCTCCCCCACCCCACCCGGTCCCCTGGACCCTGGGAATGGAAGACAATGTGGGATGGGGCCCACGCCCCCGTCTGAGGTACAGTCACTGCCCCGTACCCCCCTCTGCCCTCTTCACGCTCCGGGTGGGGTGGATGGTTATACAGGGTCTCGGGAGTCGGGGCTGGTGACACAGCGACTTCGTCCGGGCTCAGTGGCTCAGGGTGTCAGTGCACCAGCTCTCCCCCCTGCTCTGTGTGGTGCGGGGTACCAGGGCTGGGTGTTCCGGCCATCAGAGCTGAGGCCACAGTCTCACAACGTCCCTTCCTGAAGACAGTGCCCACTTTGGGGACACCATGGCTGGGCACCAGCCACAAGGCAGCCGGAGCCAGGGCCTATTGCTGGTCACAGTCACGGGTGTGTGTGTGTGTACGCGTGTGTGAGGACGGTCAGCTCAGCCTCTGGGGGTCCAGTGTGTGGAGGGGCCGGGGAGCCCACGCCTGTGGGACAACTGCAGGGGCCCAGGGGCAGCTGGTTGGTGCTGCAGATGGCCGGGGAGGGCAGAGCACTGGGACAGGCAGGCGGCTACGGCCACCAGCCTGACAGTTGGATGGAAGCACCGATTGGCCCGGGAGGGGGCCAGAAAGTACAGGGTGGGGACGGAGAGGGACGTGGGTAGGTCTCAGGCCACTGCGCCAGCAATGGGGGCTCTGGCTGCAGGCAGCTGGTGTACAGCAGGGAGGGACAGAACCATGGGAGCCACGGAGGAGGTCCCCACCTAGACACAAAGGCTGGATGACTGGACGGTGACAGCTCCCCCCACTCCCCACCTGTCCGAGGTGCAGCTGGACGACGTGGGATGGGGTGGGGTCGGTGCGTGCATGCGCGGGAGGGCGCATTCTAGTCTCACTTCCGCCGGAAGCGCCCACACCTACCTCCAACCAGAGGGCAGGCCGGCAGGGTCGGGCGGGGGACGTGGGGGGATCGTGCTCCCCTGCCCGGCCCACTCCTACACATACACACAGACGTGCGGACTCGGACACACACACACACACACGTGCGGACTCGGACACACACACACACACACACACACGAGCCAGTGAGCAGCCTGAGCTGAGGGAGGGGTGCGGGGCGACCGGGGTGGGTCACAATCGGAACGGTGAACGGGTGGCGAGAATGGCTGTAGAAAGATGCATAATTTTGCGTTATCCCTCACAGTGATGGGTTCTCTAAAGATCTTTCCTCCTCCTCCTCTTCCTCAGTGACTGAGAGCTCTTCTGCCCCCTCGAGACCCACGGCGCTTGCTCCCCCTCCTCCTCTTGCTCTGGCCTGAGGCCCCCTGGGGGAGGCGCCCCACCGCACTGGCCGAGACTACATTCTCCACCACAACCAGCCCAGGGCGGAGAGGAGGGCCAGTGGCCCCGGGGGCCTCGGGGCTGAGTTCTCCAGGGATCCGGGGCCTGGGGAAAGAGAGAGAGGGACCTGGGTGAGGGCCATCGATGGGGAGGCCCTGTGTCTGTGCCTGGTCTCTTCGTCAGTCTCTAAGGGTCTGCTTCTTCGGATCTGGTGCTAGGGATGGAACCCGGGGCCTTTGCACTGAGCTGCTTCTCCAACCCTTTTCTGTCTTTTGAGAGAGGGTCTTGCCAAGTTGCCTCGGCCTCCCGGTGTGTGAGAGCCAGGACCCAGGGGGCCTCTTGAGTCTAGCTCTCTGGGGGCCTTTCTGAGCTTCACTCTCTGTGCCTGTTCTTCTGACTGCTTTGAGTCTTAGCATCCTCTCAGATCCTCTCCACTTCCCTTCCACTGTTTTGTTTAGCTCTAAACTCTCAGCGTTTGTCTTTCTGTCTGCCGGCTTCTGTCCGGCCAGCACTTCCACCTGCATTTTATCCTCAGCTTGTCCAAAACTGCTCTGGACTTCTCTCACACACCCTGTTGCCTTCCCCTCAATCCTGCTGCACACCAGAGCCTCAGAACTCGTCCTCATCCGCCCCACTACTCAGGCCCAAGCCTCAGGGTGCCTCTTTCCTCGCCCTTCCACCCCCAGCACCCACCCAAGCCCCTGGGCTCCACCTCCACAGCACCCCAGGCGGAGGTCCTGCGCTGTGCCTGCAGCTCTGGATGGCCACACAGCCTCCTCCCACCTCCACCTCGAAGCTCAAATCTCCACCAATTAAGGGAGTCTCTGTGCAGGCGCCAACCACAAGTCACTCCCACTCAACAGCCTCCAGCTGCGGAGCCCTGCGGCCTGCAGAACTCAGCCCTTACTGTGGCTGCCGGCGCTGAGCTCTGCCTCCCTCGTGGACCTCCGATGCCTCCAATGGCTCTGTGGGGTCCCGATAACGTCCTCTCTGTGACTTTGAAAACGCTCTTCCAAATCTGGGCAGGGTTGTGTTTTTCTTCTCTTTCTTTTTTCTTTTTTTTTTTCGGTACTGGGCATGGATCCCTGGGGCGCTCGGCCACTGAACTATGTGCTCGGGCCTTTTAATTTTTTATTATGAGACAAGTTCTCCCTAAATTTCCTGGGCTGGCCTCAAACTTGATATCCTCCTTTCTCAGCCTCTCTGGTACCTGGGATTACAGGTGTGCGCCCCACACTGGGCCGGTGCTGATTTCTTAAATCTGGGTATAAATGCTGCCTCCTGGAGGAAGCGTCCTCTGATGACCTCACCTGCTAGCTGCCACCCCAAACCTCTCCATTCTTTTCTCTCTAGCTGTTGCTGATACTCAAAAAGTTATAATTTGTTCAGGTGTGTATCTTATGTTTGCTTATTTATCTACATGTCCGCTTCATTGCTTTTCTAGCACCGGGCTGTAAGCTGTGCGTGTCCCCAAACCGTGTCACTGCTGTGTCCCCAGAGCCCTTAGTGCGCGCGTGCTCGATGAATACTGAGTAAACGGGTCGCTTTCCTGCTCAGTCGCATTACTGGACTCAGCATCTGTCTGTCGTACGCTGGGAGTCGGTCGGGGTGGCCCCGAGTCCCCCACCTCACCGCACCCCGCCCGCGGACGCACGCAGGAGCCGCATGGAGGCGCTGGACGCTCCGAGGCGGTTGGCGGCGCGACACGTGTAGTTCCCGTAGTGCCGGGCGCTCACGTTGGCGAAGAGGAGCATGGAGCGAGTGCGCTCGGTCTGCACCTTCAGGCCCTCGGCCGCGCCGCTGCTCAGCCTGCGGGACGGGGTTGGGGTTGGGGTTGGGCCGGGAAGCCTTCGGCGAGGCGCTCAGCTCAGCAGCCCCACTTTCCGCGGACGCCTGGCATCCGGGTCTAGGCCCCCTCCAGGGACCCCCTTTCCAGGCTCCGCGGCCCCTCGGGATACTGGGCGCTCCCAGTGCACACTAGCATCCCCAGGGAGCTTCCTAACCCGGCCCCAGGTAATTCCGGGGAGGCGCGGCCCAGCATTCGTCCTGGACCCCATGCCCTGGAAGCCCGACCCCGAGCTCTGCGCTCCCGCCGTCCCTCCCGCCGTCCCTCCCGCCGTCCCTCCCGCCCCCGGCGCCGTCCTCACAGTCTGTCGTCCTTGTACCACTGGAAGTCCGCGGGCGGCACCGCCATGGCTTCGCAGCGCAGGAGCGCGGCCCGGCCCAGGGCTGTGCGCGCGCTGGTCACGTCCGTGATGGTCGGGGGATCTGGTGGGGAGCGAGGGTCAGCCGGTGCTCCCAAGCCCCTCCCCGCGCAGGCCCGGGAGTCCGCCCCGCCTCCCGGCCCTCTGACCCCCCTCCCCCGGACGTGGCCCCCCTTCCGTGCCCAGGGCCGAGGCTCACAGTTGACTGTGACCAGCACGCGGCGGCTGTCGGGCGCCGAGTTCACCCCGTTGTGGGTCACGCACTCGTACTCCCCCGCCTGGCCCCGCTGGATGTCGGAAATCTCAAGGATCTCGCCCTCCGAGGTGAAGCCGTCTGTGGGGGAGGGCGGAGGAGGGGGCGGGGCCGGACACAAACACTTAACACGGGACAACACGGGCAGCACAACGGGACACACATCAGCAGGGCAGCCCTGCAGGGCCTGGAGTGCCCGGGTCAGCGGAGGCCGCAGGGGGCTGCGGGTGGGCGGGGAGTGAGGAGGCTCAGGGCTCAGGAACTGCAACCCAGAGGGAGGGGAACTGGAATTTGGGGGTTCCAGAGATCCAGAGATCTGGGATCTCTGATCCTGGTGCTCAGGGGACCCCACTGGGTGGAGAATTTCGGAATCTTGGATCCAGGAAATAAAGGCCCACTGGGGAGAGTCCAGAGTTCCGGTATCAAGTTCTTAGGGTCCAGAGAACTAGGATCTGGTGATGGGCTCTGTAACCCAGATAGCTGGGATCTTATGACAGATCTGTGGTCACAGAAGATCCTCTGGAATTCAGGGGACCCAGGGATCCAGGATCTCAAGACTAGGATCGTAAGGCTCAGAAGACAGTGCTGCAGAATCCAAGTGTCTGTGGCCTAGTAATTGGGTTCTGCGGTGTCAGGGGGTCAAGTATTCACTGGGGCCCAGTGTTTGGAACTCTGGGTCTCTGCAGACAGAGGGAGTAGGGATCAGAGATTTGGATCTGGTGGGGAGATCAGGTAAAGAGCTGGCGGGATGTGGTGGCCCTAAGCTGTCACATTCAGGCAACCTGAGCTATGTTGGGGTACCTGTGAGGGGTGGAGGAACTCCGATTCTCCAGGGGTCTAGTCCGGGGCCTGAGAATGTGCCTTTCTGGCAAGTTCCCAGGGGAGGCCGATGCTGGCACCTGGGGGCCACACGTTGGACCCGCTGGGCTTCAGCACCCAGCGGGAGAGGTGGGCTTGTGAGGAGGAGGGGCGCTGTGGCCAGAACCCGGGCTGTAGCTGCACGTGGGGTGTCTTGTGGTGGGAACCCGAGTGCAGAATTGGTGAGGGGTGGGGACGATCGGGAAAGGGGAGTCTTCACGGGTGATTTGGAAAACCTGGCCCAGGTCTGAAGGGCTGGCAGAAGCCAGTGCTGAAGGCTCTAAGTGGCTGGGGTCTGGTGACGAAGTCTCTGGGAAATGGGGGTGTCCCAGTGAGGAGGAAGGGGTTCTGGGAACCCAGCTCGGGACAGGGATTGGAGGGGCCCAGACTGCAGAGTAGGAGAAAGGGCTTTCTGTTTGGGCTGGGGTCCTCACCTCGGAGCTGCCTCCAGGTGACGGTTGGCTCTGGTCGCCCCACGGCCAGACAGAGCAGATTCACACTGCCTCCCTCGTTCACCGTCACAGGCGAGGAGATGTTCACAATGCGGGCAGGGACTGCGGGCAGGGACAAAGGGCACTGAGAGGCTGGGGGTCTACTCCGGAGTCCGGCCCGACCTCCTCCCTCAGACCCCAGGGCCCAGGCCCAGCCTCCTCCCCCGGCCAGATGTGGGCTGACACTTGGTCTGTCCTTCTTAGGATCCCCTGTGTCTGTCACTTCCCTCTTTGGCCTTCTCTCCCCAGTGTCCCTCAGCCTCACTCCTTTTCTAATTTCTGGCCATGTTGAACTCTGTGTCTTTCTCCACTTCAACCTCACTTGATTTCTCTATCTTCTGGTCTGAATTCCTCTCTCCCTGTCTTTTGATTTCTGATTATTCTAAAATTAATGTACTTAACAGATACCCATATAGCACTTCCTGTGTGGCAGATTCTGTTCTAAATGCTCTATAAAAATCCACTCATTAGTCTCTTCCTCCCCATCCTGGGCTGGACAGTGCTATATTTCTCCAACTCTAAGACATGACGGGAATTTTTTTTTCCTGTTCCCACTTGAGTTTCTCACTCAGGGCAGCCTTGTCATTTGGGGTGCCACAGTTTAACGGGCAGAGATCTCTCTTCCTTTCTTGTACAGCATGAAATACAGCCAGCCCCTCTGACTGCGGCTGCCCTGGATTTGGTGAGAGACAGCACCATCCCTGGTCCGGAGGCCAGGGAGCCCCAGGGCTCTGCTTCCTCAGGGGCCCTGGCTGGCAAGGGTCATCACTGAGGCCAGAGTGGGGTGGTCTGGCTCCTGAGCTGGTGCTCAAGGTGACTCTGTGGGTGCGCTCTGTGTCTAGGCTCAGCCTCTCTGGGTGCCCGCTGCACACCAGACCGTGTGTGCTCCCCCAGGAAGTGGCTTCTGAGCTCTGTCTCCCCACCCGCTAGAAGCCCAGCCTCGCTGTAGGTCCTTGCAGCTCCATCTCTCCTGCTCTGAATCCTTTCCCTCCCCTCTCCTCCCCTCTCCTCTCTTCCCCTTCCTTCCTGGTTTTTTTTTTTGTGGGGGGTGGGGGGATGTTTTCACCAGCTCTGTTAGCAGCTAAAGTCCCCAGAGCAGGCCTGGAGCCTGGAAAGCCACCTCTGAGCTTCGGGAAGCCGCCTGCCCAGTTCTTCACGTGCTCAGTACAACCCCTGCACATCGTGGCACTGGGTAGAAGGGGTGCCCTCTCCCCTGGAGTTTTCCGCCCTGGACCCTGTCACCCTGAAGCATCACTCTGCTGCGGTTTCCCCTTGCGTTAGGCGGAAACTCGTCTTGCACTGGATGTGTTCCAGGCCTGGGGACAGCGTGTGGTGAGTGCACATGGGTTGGGGGTCCGTGGGGAGCCCCGTTATGCAGCCTGCCACCCCCTGCGCTCCCCATCCGTGCTCACCATGGACGATGAGGTAGACCTGAGTGGTGTACGGCTGGTGGCGGGTCTGGAAGGAGCAGGTGTAGAGGCCCTCGTCACCCAGCCCCACCTGCGTGATGAGGATGGAGAACTCCTCGGGTGTGTTAATGAGCAGCCGAACACGGGGGTCACTGGTCCAGCGGTCATTGCCAGCGTACAGGATGTTGGAGCGGTTCAGCCAGGCCACTCGGGTCACATGCTCATCAATGAAGCAGCTGGGGGATGGAGGGTTAGGGTGAGGGTCGCACCTCCCCGCAGCCCACAAGGCAGACTGCTGGTGAGTGAGCCGAGTCTCAGTGGGAGAGAAGCAGGCTCAGTGTCCCATGGCCGATAGCTATGGGGTGACTGTTGTGTACCAGAGACCTGGAGAAGGGCGAGGCAGAGATGGGGGAAGCTGTGACCCTGGCTCATTTACAAGCAGGCCGATGTGCAAGCTCTCTAAGCACTGTGCATGTAAACTCTTGAACCCCTAAACACCTCCCAGGGCAGTTACTGTCCACTCCTGTGACACACGGGCACATGGAGGCCCAGGGTGTGTGGTACACATGGCCTCCATGCCAGCCCCCACCCAAAGCCAGGACCACTGGGCTCTGCTGCGTGTGAGCTGCTGACCCGGCGTACCTGAGGGTGGCATTGTCGCCTTCACACACGGTGTAGTTGTCGGCGGGGGAGCTGAACTCCAGGCTCTGTGACAGCAGCCCTGGGGGAGGGAGGGGGCTCAGGCCTGGGGGGCAGGCAGGCATGGCAGAGACTGCACACACGGGCCACACCTGTGCACACATGCACACTCCCAGGGGACACAGATACCTTCCACACCCACTGCCACACACATCCACTGATGTTGCAGAGATGCACACACAGCAGTCACCCACCTGTGCCTTTCCCCGGGCCTGCACAACTCACAGACAGCGTGGGGCGCGGGGCACGCAAGCTGCATACCTCCAGGGACACGAGACTACACCCAGCCACGGCACAGGAACACAAACAGACACGTGCTCACTCATGCAGAGACCTGTGTGGACACACGTACGAGGCACTACACACACACACAGAGGCACATCCATGTGGATCCATAAGCACAGACACACAGATCATTGTACGTGTGAGACACGCTCAGGTGTGCAGACATCCACAGATACATGTGTGCACAGACACATGCATGTTCAGAGGTAGTGTGCAGAGACACATCAATAGGCACTCACAATCCCATACATGCACACACATACATAAGAAACATGCACAAATTCACACATGCACACACGCATTAAATCAGAAATACACTGACAGACACACGTGCTCACAGACATATCTATCACACACCTTTAGACACGGTGCACAACACACACGCGCCTTTGCACACACATCTGCCCCACGCATCCTGTGCCTCCCCCGCAGGGCACACTTCCGGGTGTAGGCCCACACCCACTGCACACTCCAGCACGGCCCGCAGGCCCATCACCCGCACTATTCATCTCTCCGTGGACCGTGGCCGGCAGGCTGGACCTGGGCCAAGGGCGGGGGCTGGGCCAGCGGAGGCAGAGGCCGCAGAGCCAGAGGGAGCGAGGCCAGGCCCGCCCACCGGATGACCTTGGGCGCCTGGAGCAGGAGGCCGGGCCCGGGCCGCCCTGCCCCCGCCTGGGAAGAGGAGCTAATTAATCTAATGAATTAATTGCCCGTGCGGCCCCAACGACTCCCAGGGGCCTCTCCCTCAGCAGCCTCTCAGCATGGGGCGGGACAGGGCCAGCTGCAGTGGGCTGGCCAGGGCCTGGCATGGGGCTAGGCCCTGCGTCCCTCAGCCCAGGCCACCCAGGCAGGAAAGAGCCCCAGATTCCCGGTCACACACAGTGGTGTCCCTGCTCAGATGGACACGCACACAGTCACAGTGACACCCACAGACCCAGACACACGCCCAGCGGAAGGTCACCTGGAAAGGCAGCTGTCTGAGGAGCTGGCTGTCATGCTTAGCCCCAGAGCGACAGTCCCCAGCCCAGCAGCACCGACTCTGAGCCAGCCCTGACACTGCTGCCCACAGGCTCTAGTGAGCCTCACGGCCCCACACGAGGCTGTACAGTCTCCACACGGGTGTAGCCTGACCCATTGGGCAGACACACACACACACACACACACACACACACACGAGAGGACGCTCCCACCCCCACAAAGTACAATCCAGCTACCCCGCCACACCTCCTCAAACACAAAGGGGTGCCCTGGGCTGAGAATCAGGTGCACAAAGTCATGCTACCACCTGTGATCAGACCATGCATGGCCACACACACACGCACGCACACACAGAGCCAGAAAGCCACATACAGAAAGATACGCTGGACCGAAAGGCAGTCCGGGTAATGCAGGCTGGGTCTGTGAAGCACTTGCCCCCAGGATCTGTCAAGCTCCTGCTGACCCACTGCTAGGCCAGGAGCCCTAGTCTTGCCTGTGCTAACATCTGGGGCCAGCTGGCCCTGGCCACTATAGGGAGTTTGGCAGTGTCCCTGGTCTAACCCACGTGATGCTGCAGCTCCCCACCACAGTGGTGATAATCAGAGCTCAGGACCCACAAGAAAGGGAGTTCTTGAGTCAGGAGTGGTGGTGCACACCTGTAATCCTGGCCCTCTAGGAGGCTGAGGCAGGAGGATTGCAATGCGAGCTCAGCCTGCATAATTTAGCAAGACCCTGTCTCAAAATAAAAAATAAGAAAAGGGCTAAGGATGGAGCTCAGTGTGAAGGCCCGGGGCTCCATTCTCAGTACCAAGTCGAAACAAAACAGCAACAAAAAAGAGACTCTCCAGGAGGCAGGAGGGGAGCTGTCCAAGGTCCCGAGCTGGGACACCCGGAGACGTCCTGAACCCAGCACCACCCACTAGAGTTGAGGCCACAAACCAGGGCCATGGGGCAGGGTGTGGCCCCAGGGTGGGCAGGACCTCAGCGGGGAGACACACACCCTCACCACCAGGACCTTTCTAACCCTCAGAGCAGACCGTGCCCCTCCTGGGGCTCCCGCCGCCCCGGAGGGTGAAGGACCAGTTCTGGCCTCGTCCTGGCCCCCCACCTCATCACCTGGTGCATGCGTGTTGCAGCTCCACATTTCCCTCTTCTCCTGGACCTGCAGTTGGGCCAAACCTTCTGCCCCGGCAACCTGGTGCAGTGACCTGGAAGCTCCCTGCCTGGAAGCCTGGGGCACAGGGCCTCGGGGTTGGTCCTGGCTTGTGGGCAGTCCCAGGAGACAGAGAATAAACAAATCCACCCCTCAAGGGGGCCTGGGTGCTTGGTCCATGCATCTGTGCGTCTGGATGTCCTGGGCCTTAAAATCACCAGCCCCAGGATCAGGAGGCACCCTCTTGCTATGTGACCTTGGGCAACTCCCTGCCCCTCTATGGGCTTCAGTCAGTGCAGGTAGGGCAAGGTTAGCCACTTACTTGTTCTGGGATAACCTTTTTGGTTTGTTCAGCAGAACTGGAGATTGAACCTAGGGAGTGCTGAGCTACACTCTCAGCCCCTTTTAATTTTTTAAATTTTGAAACAAGTGTTCACTAAGTTCCTCAGGCTGAGCTCAAACTTGCAACCCTCCTGCCCCAGCCTCCTAGGGAGCTGGGATTACAAGCATAAGCTACTGCACCCAGCCAGGGATGACCTTCTTAGGAGTCCATGACCTGCTCAGCCCCTGGGCCTGGCACCTCCTGATCTCAGCCCTGCTCACCGGGGACTGTTGAGGCCCTCTCTGGACAGGCCCTCCTCCAGGGCTCCCATGTGGCCTGCAAGATGCTTCAGGTATCCACACACAGATGCACTGTGAGAATTCTGCTCCAAGCGCTCCAGCCCCTCCAGGCCTGGGCTCAGCTCCCACTGTGCCTGGACCTCTTCCAGAGAGTTCGGGTCACGAGGTGATGTTCTTCTTCCCCAGCAGACTAGAAGCTCCTTGAGGGCAGAGCCTGGTCCTGACTCAGTTCCTGATGCCCATCCACCTCCCAGCACAGGGCCTGGCTCCCTGGAGTCCTTGTTGATCAAATGAATATGAGCAGATGCCTGTGACACTCTTCACCCCTTGAACTCCTCAATTCTCAAGATCCCCGTGTAACTCCTTCCCCCAGGAGGACCTCCCTGACTCTTCAAGGCAAAGACTTGGCCCTTTTCTGGGTGCCCTTGACTGGCTGAGGCAGGCTGCCTCCTCTGGTGTCTCTCACCTGGCCAGGAGCCCCACCAAGGGCTGATTCTTGTCCACACGTCCCAGGGTTGGGCCAGGAAGTGTTTGTGGAGAAGGAACTGAAGGTCTTCAGACACCAGATAAAAGATCCTCAGGATCCTGAATGGGGAAACCAAGTGCCTGCCCACTATTTCCTGCCTGGGTGACACCCTGCTTCGTCTGGGCCTCAGTTTCCCCATCTGGAAAAAGTTAAAAATGTTTTCTGCATGGATTTTTGAAATATTCCCTGAGAATATGGAATCAAAGTGCTTAGCTTGGTGCCTAGCTGCAGATCAGGCCCAACAGATGCCAGCTGCTCCTGACAGCACCGTTTTGAAAAAGAATCATCTATCAATATGCTATCCCTGGTTCGGCATTGACCACCCTGGGTGGGGACTGGGCTGAGTCCAGGCTCCTGGAGATGCCCCATAAGCATCTGTCTCTTTTTTTTTTTTTGTACCCGGGATAGAACTCGGGTCCTTGCGCTTTCGAGGCAGGAGGCGGAACCACTGAGCTAAATCCCCAGCCCAAGCCCCATAAGCATCTGCTTGATCAGTCTTGGCCCAACTGGCTTAGGGCTCCTGTCCAGACTAGCAGGGCCTCGCTGGGAGTGACAGTCCAGTCCCCTATGACAGGAAGAGGTCCCTGACTGGACCCCCCAAAGGAGGGGCAGGGCGGGACTGCTGTGCTTCCAGAGTCCCCTGGGGCACTGGGGCCCTGCAGAGTACCTGAGTGAGTGCAGGGCACTTGGAGAGTTCCAGGCCTGATCCAGGGAGGGCTGGGGACCCAGACAGCCTGGCCCCGGCTAGGAAGAGCGGTGAGAAGCCAATGAGTCCCAATCGGGCCCTGGCTCCTCCTTGTCTTTGCTGAACTCTGAGGCCTTCACATCAGTGATGTTGGCCCTGGGAGCCTAGATGCCGGGCTGGGAGCCCCGGAGCCAGATGCAGCATTCTGAGATTTCGCAGCCACTGCCCCTGGGATCTTGTTAAGGTCGACTTCTCTTCCTTCCAGTCCTCCCTGCAAGGTTTCCTGCCTGGGGTGTCATCCTCAGCCACCTACGCTCTCAAATAGCCAACATCCCCCAGGTCACACTTCCTTCTGTTATGTCACTGACAGTCCCCCAAATGACCTATTTACTTGTTTGTGTTAGATTTTGCAACTGGCTTTTGATCTCTCTCCATCCCACTGTGATATAAGCTCTTCAGGGGCAGTAACTAGGTCTGGCTATGAATCCCTCTACCCATCCACCCATCCACCCACTCGTACATCCATCCATCCATCTACCCATCTATTCATCTGCCCATCCATCCGAGGCCACAGCAGCAACTGTGTGCTCCGACAACATCTGCTGAATAAACCCCTGAAACTGAGCCCCTAGCCCATCAAACCCGAAGCTCAGAGGTCCCATGGACAGCGAGGTGGACAGCAGGGACCTCAGCCGAGGACCCCAACAGTAGGCAGGGCTGCGGGGCTGCTGGGCTTGGCCTGCCCCCTCCTGGCTACGCCTACCCACCTGCTGCCAGAAAGCACAGGAACCCCAAACTACTTGCTGCAGTTTGGCTGCTACTGGAGCTGGCTGAATTGTTGTCGACTGTGCAGCTACTTTTGTGAATGAATATGCACGTGTGAGTGTGTGTGTGCGTGTGAGTGTTGGCATAAAGGATTTAGGAGAACATTAAAAGTGGCTCAGTATTTACGGATGCCAGGGAGCTTTCATTAAGTGGAAATAAGCCAGCCGCAGAGCAATGGGCTTATTTTGTTTCTGTTTTGGGAAAAATATCAAAAAGTCAAGGAGCCTTCTCCTCACACTGACCTCGACGGCTGCATCTGCATCAGTGGTAGGGGCGAGGCATGGGCGTGAGGGGCGGGCGTGCTCCCGAGTCAGCCCAGTGGACTGTGTCACCCCCTGCTCCCCTCCCCACTTTGACAATGTCCTGAGCGAAAGACAGGGCGCCGTTCCGCACATCTCGCCATAAGCTCTTAGGCACAAACTGTCCGTGGGCGGCTGGTGGGCGCTCAGCGCACGCCATCCTCGGTCACCCTCGTTCCTGAGTGGGGAACCCATGACCGGAGGTGGGAAAGCACTTTGCCAAGGCCAGGTGGCTTTGCTAGGGCTCCCACCTCAGGGCTGGAGGGCCATGATGGTTTCTGGGGTTTAGAAGAGGAAGAAGTGGGAAAGGGGGAGTTACTTTGAGAGTAAAGGGGCAGCGGGAAGAGGAGAAACAGGTAAGGGGAGGGGAGCAGAGAGGAGTGAAGTGGGGCGGGGGAGAGGCCAGGAGAGGAGGGGCTCGCGTGTGGGGTGACAATGAGGAGCACAGAAGTGAGTCCAGCAGGCAGGAGACAAAGCCCAGAGACAGGCACAGGGTGGAATGTCACCAGCACACTACAGAGGGCGGGACAGGAGCTGCTGGAAATTCGGAGTCTCACAGACCCCCGAGACCAGGGACAGAGGTGCGGTGCGGGTGGCCAGCGAGTGGCTTCTGCACCAGCTGGGGGCCCACGCGGTGGCCTGACACAGCCTCCTTGGCTCAGCAGATCTGCATCCGGGACGTGGGCGTCCTGCCGGATGGGCCATGTGCATGGCTGGTGCCCGCAGGTGCGCCTGGGATGGACTTTCTGTGGCAGCGCGTGTCTGGGAGAGAGGCCAGGAGCCGCAGCTTCCCTGGGGCTGCTGGGGTCACTGTGTGGGGGCCGTTGTCCCTGACTGCCGGTCCCTGACTCTGTGACCCAGGGTTGGGTCAGGGCTGGGAGGAATCCCCGGAAGCTGGGTTTCCCGGGCGCCTGAGCACCGGGGCCTCCCGCTTTCTTGGCCTCCCCCCATTCCTCTTGGGGACATCTTGACCATGCTCTCCCACCAGGCCCAACTAGAGAGACCCGGGCCCAGCCACACGCTGTCCGTCCGGTGCCCAGACCTCCCTCTGCTCCCCGAAGTCCTCCCCCAGGCCCCCGCGCCTGAGCGCAGAGTAACCCTGTGACCCTGCATTAACCCTTCTCTTCCCTGGGCGTCTTTCCCCTTCCTCCCGGTCTCTCGTCCTGTCCGGACCCAGGGTCGCAGGTGCTCACCTGAGCCCACAGCCTAGCACCCCAACTTCTGGATCCCCAGCACCATTCCCGCACATAAGTACAACAACCGAATGCTAACGCTCTCAAGCCCAGGGCCCTGCCGGGCTGTTTCAGCCCCTCCTCGGCCTGTCCTGGCCCTGGGACTTGGTCAGCGGACTCCCGGTCGCCACCTCTTACTGACCTAGGAAGACATCCATCCCCCACCTCCTTCCAGAGAGGAGAACCCCAGCCTCAGGCAAGGACTTCCTCGGGTACCCTCCAGGCAGACAGGACCCGCCGCAGCCCCACTCAGTTCAGAGATCTGGCCCTCCCGGACCCTCAGCCGGCCTCTTGAGTCCCTGCAGGGACCAGGTGTCTGCGGCCCCCTGGCGGGCTGGGGAAGCGACCTCCGCCCCTAGGCCCAGGACGGACCCTGCCCAGGCACGCACCCCGACTTCCGAGGACCCCCTTTCCCGGCCAGGGATGCAGCCCCCTCCCTGGCCCGGAGCTCGGCGTCCAGGGCCTCCCCTCCCCCGGCCCGGGTGCAGCCCCAGCCTCAGCCCCACCCCGCAGGGTCCCCGGCGTCCCGGCCGAGCTCCCGCCCCCGCGCTGCGGTACCTCGGCTGATGACGGCCAGGCCGGCCAGGGCGGCGGCGGCGAGGAGCCGGAGCCGGGCCCCGGGCGCAGGGGGGGG